TATCAGAAATGTTTGGTGTTTTTTTGGTGGGTTTTTTGATTGCTCAACTAGACCGAAACCTGTGATAGAGGGGAAAAGTTCCACATCCTATTATCAGACTGGCTGAACGCATGGAACAATAGCAACTTCCAGATACAAGATTCATTTTTCTTTTCTAGATCCTACTTAACTCTTTCCATAGACCTCTTTCTGGTCCCAGCGACTCCATATATGGCTTTATCCATAGATGACAAAGTAACGAAAGAACTGAACTGGGTTTTCATGTAAAACGGTATGTTCTTTCCCGGCTTATACGACTCTTGTCTGGATGATAATTTAATCTATAAATTGAAAACAAATATAGGCCCTTTACAAAAACTTACACTGGGAAAAGCTGAGAGAGGTGAAAAGCTGAGATGGAAGTAACATTTTCAGGAAGTATTACAGTAGCTCTGAGAAGAATTTTGCTCATACAGTGAATGCACTACTTAATTAAAAAAACATAGAACTTTTAAGGCACATTCTATTAGTTACCTCAAGGCTGTTCCCACATTTCTGTTCTACATTCAGCCAAACCGAATCAGCTACTAATTCTGCAGTGTTCTCTCCAGTGACAATGTAGTAGACAAGAAGACGGGCTGAAGGAACCATATCTTGGGTTAGCTGAAAGCTTACATGTTCATAGTCTGTATCGTTAATCCTAGCCTGAGTTCCAAAGCTTATTATTTTCCCTTTGGACAGAATCTATGAGATAGAAAAGAAAAGAAAAAGATAATCCCAGAATAATAAATTGCAGCAAGTATTTCTGCCTATTTAGGAAGAAACTTTGGCAAGTAGAGTCAATAATATGTCACTTGCACATCTTAACTGGAGAAAGAAAAAAAAGACCTGTTCAGCCTTCACAAGAGAAGGCTGAGGGGGGACCTGGTGACCATCTATAAACGCACTAGGGGGGACCAGAAGGGCTTGGGGGAGACCTTGTTTCCCCTAGCGCCCCCTGGGATAACACGGAATAACGGCCACAAGTTGTTGGAGAGTAGGTTTAGATTAGACATCCGTAAGAACTACTTCATAGTCAGGGCGGGTAGGATCCGGAACCAACTTCCAAGGGAAGTGGTGCTGGCTCCTACCATGGGGGGCTTTAAGAAGCAGCTTGATGCCTACCTGACTGGGGTCAATTGAGCCCAGTTTTCCTCCTGCCCAGGCAGGGGGTCGGACTTGAAGATCTACAAGGTCCCTTCTGACCCTACTTCTATGATTCTATGATTCTATGAAAACCCAAAATGATGTTTATATGAAACTCAATTCATTTTTCAAACATTAAGCCACACAATAGTATGTAAAGTAGATTAATCCCTTGTATTTGGAGCTTAATAAAAATCAAACTTTTGAAAGGTTTAACAAACTGTATGCACTTGATGTAATAAATATACATTATTGTGTTTTTAGGCATAAACAACAGGTGTACAGATGATAATGTACTGTGTGTTTTAATCAATAGATAACAGCATAACTGACAGCAGCAGTTTTTCATGATGTATGTCATCCTATCAACTCTTAGATACAAAGTTATATAACACTATTCCTGAAAACAAGTTTAGGAAGCCAAGATACCTAATCTCTCCTGGCAGGGTAGGAAAGATTATCCTTACTTAGACCACATTTAAACTAAAACAAACATGGCATTGCTCCCTACCCCCAAAATGAATCACAATATGCTCTGCAAATGCTTTTTTGATGTTTGCCCATAATCTTGCTCTAACCAACTGCAAATACATCCAGTTCCTGTGGAAGTTCTTAATACAAGAAAATGAACAACTTCCCTAGGTAAGCACATCATTAGAATATGAAGAAAGCATGTGTTCAAGTGCTTTGACTAATTCCAGCTCTTAATCAGGTCTACAAGTTCTTTGGTGCTGTCCACTGTTGTAACTGCTATCTGGCAGTACCGTCCTTTCAAATGCAGGAATTCTGAGTTACAGACTTCACATTATAAAATGTAATGCTGCTGACAAGTGGTTAACAGTGCTCACGGAAACTCTAACTGGGGTATTAATTCTTGATCTCATTTTTACAAGTCGTTTCTCCATGTCAGTATTATATGGGATATGCATGCAGAAGCTTTGAAAGAAGCTGCTTTCTGAACAAAAACATAGAACTTTGATTGCAAGGGTTGCATATCTGGCACCCCAACTTGTAATGTGAAAGTACATCTGTTACTTACCAAATAGCTGTAATAATATATTTTATGAATATAGTGGCTACTTGGATGCACATTAATGTTGATATGGTCCCCCACATGGAGCATTTTATGGTTTGAAGCCCAGTCAATATATAGATAGCTTTTGCTGAGAGATGAGTAAGCTGTTGCTTCATAGCGTTCAGTTGCCTGGTTTTCTTCTGAAAGACTTGGATCTGCTGTTTTTACCTAAAAATGATGTCACGTGTATTAAAAGATGTTATGCCAACAAATAGCTTAAAATGTTTTGTACTTCTATAAAAGCTTCCATGAAGAAAGTAAAGATACTTCAAATAAAAATCAAGCCAGCCTCAGAACCATTGCGAAACAAATACTGTTTTGTTTAAAGTTTTGGTTTATTGTATAGATAGGTAAATTAACTCCATGGACTAATTTTAAAGAAACTAAGCACCAATAGTCCTCCAGCCAATAATAAAAGAAAGAACAGAAATAAGGCATCCTGATTTCGAAACACAATTATTATATTTCTTTTAACAAATTAAACATTACAGTGTAAACTTAATGGATTGAAACATTAAATTTAAGAGTGATATGAATGACTTTAATAAAAGACACCTCAAACCATTGCCTTACAGTCTTGCTTCTGCACATTCAAAATGCAACCAGTAAACACTATTCTCTCCATTTCTCTGAGCCAGCCAGAACAAAACCAAAAAAAAATCCCTATTAGAAAGCCCTTTTCTGTGTAATTTGTTTAATACACATTTGGATGAACAATATCTGAAGTTTTGGGTGCTTGTCTAAATTGGACTTCTGAAATCTCTATAATACTCATATTTGGTAATTTCCAGCATTTTTCACAACGTCTCTTAGATTACAAAATAGTCACATTTTCAAATTCCCTGGTTTCATGTGTAAAATCTTTCTATCTATACTGTCAACAAGTCAAAGCACACCATAAGGGAGTATGAACTGTACAAGAAATACATGATTCAAAAAGAATTTAACTCACTTGAAACTCCAGTGTTTTGCTATCAGATGGAATATTAACAATAAATAATGCGGTTCCGTCTGTCCTGCTTGTTTGTCTCCTCCCAGATTCTGAGCCCTCTCGTACCAAATGAGTTGAATCCATCTGTTCATTAACTACATTTGCAGTGAGAGTTACAGGGAGGTTTCCAACTGGCTGACTCAACGTATCTTTCACTTGCACCTATTTAATAGAATAGATAGAATTTAATATAAAAAATGTATAATTCTTCAAATACAAGCATGAGCAGGAGCATCAGAGAGTGAACAGCCTCCCCAGCTACTGTCGTGCTTCCATAATAGTAAATCCAACCATGCATGTTCAAAGCATGGTGAAGCAGACAGATCTTAGGTAATATGGATAAAGGAAAACATAACTGAATGCAACCAGGTTGCTTATGTTAACTAACCTTTATAGAGAATGGAAGTCCAGGTTTCACAAAAAGAGGAGTAGCAACCAAGTTCAGTTTATACGGAGACAGGACAAATTTGACTCCAAAAAATTCAGCTTCTTCACTATGTCCACCTACCAAAACATAGTATCTCTTTTGAAACATGAACTCTTGGACCCCATTTCTCCATCTGCCCTCAAAGGCTCTTTTTAAAGGCAACCCAAATAATTTCTTATCCTCAAGCTTTATTTAATCTTTGCCCATGACAATCAAACTCTTACCAGCATGAAATATAACTTATGAAAAAGAGAGGGGGAGAGAGAGAGAGAGAAAGAAAGAAATACTTTAATAATTTTAAGAACATGCCACATTGCGCTGGGTGATATTAACTCATCCTCCTTCATCTTTATACCATTTTGGTAAAAGCACATTTGAAAAAGAACCTTGTCTAAACAGTGTAATTTTCCTTCCTCAGTTTTATTCAGATTTGCAGATAAGTGTGTTAAAAGTGTAGCAAGAAACCCTTTTGTCTGCCCCCCACCTCAAATGTGAAGCTGCTCCATAAGGCAAAAGCCCCTCTTTTAGTATTTTCCCCTTTTTGGGGATGCTTTCTCTTTTCTACCTTTTCTTCCTTCCTCTCTCTCTTTTTCTTTTATTATATCATTATTATTTTTATATAAGGTGTACTTGTAGAGAAAATAGAGCTTGTGGATGCTTTTACAAATGTACTTTAAGTTTAAAAGTTGTACCATGCAACAATGTTAACAAGGGCAGGAATCTCTGTATGGAGCAGGTCCCTGAATGAATCATGGTTCATTGTGTTACGCAGTAGCTAGTCTGGATAAGCATGTTAATGAGCGGCAATTAACACTGACAAAATCAGAGACCAAGAAGAAGAAAGAATCAATAAAGAGCCAGGAATTCCCAGAAACTTCATTGTTAAAGGTATGGAAGCCCTGTTTGAACTAATCAACGCTGGAAACAGACCCTTGGGGCTGAAATACCCCCTGATCAACCACTTCCAGAGCTCTATTCATCATGGCAGTGAATCAATCAAAATTCATCAACGGACTCCTGAGACTGCACGTACATGCGGACGTGACCCCTGGGGCTGATAGCTGCCATCCAGCAGCTACCAAGAGGGACGTCCCTCAAGGTCAACGACCCCTGGATTAGGTAAGCCTGAGAATTGGGGAGTCACCAAAGTCTGCCAGAGAGGGATAAAAAGGCAGCGAAGAATGAACCCCAATGACGCCCTCTTTGACCTGACCAGCACCCTGCCTGTCCAGCCAGAAGGACCAGCCAGCGACCCCCTTCTGCAGCAACATCGCACTGAAAGAAGCCTCAATGGGCCATCGACGGCAGACTCCAGCACTTGGGGATTAGGTATATCTTGACACCAGTGCTTAGTGTTCAGAGCTAGCTACTGTGAGTGTGGGTGTGTGCGTGAATGTGTGCGTTTGAGGGGATCAGCACCAAGTTTTATGGTCTGACTTTTGCATCCGTCCAATAAACTAGAATTTTATGATGATCCTGCGAGTTCATGCTTTGTAGCCAACAAAAGGAGAGAGAAACACCTTACCATCAGACTCCAGCACTGTTGCTGCAATATATAAGTATGCCCCATTTAATTCTTCTAGACTTTGGCGGCCTATGTCTCTAACTGCATTTCTGCTATTAAAATTGATCTCTGCAACTCCATTTGTCATCTGATAAAAAATAAAGGTTAACAAATTATTTATTCTATTATTCACAGTTTTAACATTTTCTACAAGATTCAACAGTTTCTCTCTCAGATGTTGCTACACACATAATCTGTTTACTAGGAAACTAAGGATGAAATGTTCTAACAGAAGAGAATAGAATTAATTCCCTCAAATATTGGTAATTAACCACCCAGTGGCACAAGTTGCACAACAGGTCCTCAAAACTAGTATGACCTAGGTGCAATGTAGAGAGGGAGGATTCAAAGACATTCAGGGAAGAGTGGGCCTTTCATCATCCTTGAACGACTGCACAGAAGGCCAAACTAACTCAAGAGAGAAAAACTGGAGGTATAGGAGGATCTCCCAAAGAACATCCATTTAATTTGGAATTGTTTGGGTCTTGCCATCACTGTACTACAATGCCCATTTATTCCGTATTTGATTATCTTAATTTATTCTATAATTTTTAGTGTAAAAATTCTTTCATGAACTGATATAGCTCAGGAGTGACAAACTCATCTGGCCCGTGGCTGGTCCATGGGTTGGATCAAGCCCAAGGACCCCCCCCACCCCACCCCAGCCTGCATGCCTGATCTAATCTAGGATGCTGACACAAGCATGTGCCATGTGCAACACAGCCCAGGTCCTGGCTAAGCAAACAGCGATTGTCTCCCTTTAACTGATGCAAACCAGGATGCCTGTGCAGTTCCTTTTTCCCCACCCCCACAGGCAGTTAGGCTCAGCCCTGCCTTGGCCAGCCACTCTTGAGCAGCATAGGTCAGGACCAGCCCCAGTGAGTGCTATGGACAGTGCAGCTTGGTACCCAGCCCTAGCAACTGTTGTGGGTGGCATCAGGCTGCCCAGCACAGTATGTGGGTCAACAGGATAGACCAGAAGCCAGATAATGGGGCTCCATGGGCCAGATTTGGCCTGCAGGCCCTGGGTTTGACATTCCTGATATATCTACATTTTATGCAAATGTATAATTAAGCTGAACTGAAACTGCTTTCTGGCTGAGACAAGACCTGCTAAGCTTCAGTCCAAAATTAAGTTTTATGTTCCTTATAATAGGGATTTCCAATAGAAATACTGACTGAATAACTGACAATCCCAACCAGAGGGCTGGATCTAATTCCTGTTTAATCCAAAGGAAAGACTCTATTAAGGCCTGAAGTAGGCATTTGATGTGAAAATACCTGGGTCATCTTTTTCTTACCTCAGCTACATGCATTGCTTTTGGCATCATTGTTTTTTCATTTGCTTCAATTATTCCAAAACGGACAAAAACATCTGCCCAGGCAACCACCTTGTTATAAAAGTAGCTTGAGAATAAGACAATAAAATACTCTTTTAAATTGCTGTTTCAATGGCTAGAGCAAAGCTGACTATAAATATCATATGCACTTAATTTCTCATGAGGAATTGGCTCCTAAGCAAGAATGGGCACAGTAAAGAGATAGATGTATATGTTCTTGGCAAATGTTTCTAGTCAAAGCTAAGACCTGTTGACAAGCATTGAAGGAAGATACATTCAATTATTTTCCACTGCATAAAGGACTGCAGTGGTGTAACCTTTTTGAGAAGAAAGAAACAAAGAAAGAAAGATAGAAAGAAAAAAAATGGGGTGGGGAATCTTTGGATACAGGAGGATTCAACTCACTAAGGTAAAGAAAAGCTGAATGTGTTTACAACCAAGTCCAATTTTCCTTACCTAGCTTGAATAGTTATCTTGAATTTCTCAAATTTCTCAAAACTAATGAAGTTATATTCTGGTTCTATGGAGACGGAAAAACTTGGCATTGCTAAAAATTAAGCAGAAAGTTAAATATAATAATTTGAACCTAATTGAAAATATTAAACAAAACAACTATGGTGTCATTGCATGGGCTCCAATTAATTAAATGTTAGACTCAAATTATTTGAATTACATATTTAATGGAAATGAAAAATAAGCCCATGAGCAATCAGACATTACCATATTCCTTAACTTCAAATTTAGTAAAAGCTGTTGTTGTGAAGCTCTTCTTGTATTTAGCTTCAATCTTCCAGGTACCATATCTATAAAAAAGGCAAAATAACATTTTAAGATGAAAAACAATGTATGCCTAATAATAAAAATATGAATAAATCTTGTTTAATAAAGTCTACAGTTTGTTGGTGAGAAGAAAACTCTGTACAAAGTTGCACATATCTTCAATGCAGTTTCAGAAAGACGAGAGATTGTGCTGCTCTGCTAATATATGTTTAATTTAATCAGGCTGTTATGTGGCAATCATTTTGAAACAGTTAACATATACTTGTAATTAATAGGTAGCTACCTGCTTTACCACTGGTTACCTCTACAGGTTTTGATGCAGTCCCTCATCCAAGGACTCATTATGAAGACTGTATCCTGATTTGTGCTGGTTGAACTGAAGATGAGATTTCAAACCAATTCAGTTAAACAGGTGCAACTGTATGAGAGCACTCTTGAATTGATCTAAGCCTTGCTTAAGGATATTTAGTTCGCATCTGTGTAAACGAAACTAAAATAACCCAGTATAACCTTGTTCACAGAAGGGTTTTTGTTCCATTTTAATTAAATCCTTATAAACTGACAGCAATACAATTTCTTGATGCAGAACCACCCAAAATTAATTTAATGCATATCCTAGTCACTCAAAAACCCTGAAGGAGCTTCTTTTTAACCTAGGTACTACAACTACTTTGCTTTCATTCACTAGGACTGTAACATAGCTTGAGAGGTTAATTTAGCATAGGTTATAACTAGACTTTTTTCCCCCTCTAATGAAGCTAGCCCACTTTGGGTTTATCTGCACTACATTTTGACCTCGATTTAAGTAACAGCCAAGTAAATCAGAGGTACTTGGCATATTTGCATAGGCTAGTATGTACGCTACCTTCAACATTTATTCCTCATAAGAGCACAGACATTTGAGGCTAGAGCAAACATTTGAGTTTAGGCTAGATGAAAGTATGGGTGTTAAACTGTACTCTGGTCTACACCAGGAAACTATGCATTTTTAATGTGTGTTAGCTAAAACGTTAAAATCCTAGCACAGACAATCTGAGGGCTGTCACATATTACACATAGGATGTATTAACTGGACTTAAAATGCAAGCATCCACGTGTTCAAGCAAGAAAACATAGAGGGGTGCACTGATAAAGATTGTGTTGATGCCGATGGCTGATTATTGACTGATACTGATCTGATAGCCGATATACAGGAATGTAGCCTGGCAGCTTGGAGAGCAGCATGCAGCCGGTAAATCGGGGGTGGGGGGTAGAGAGGAGCAAGGCAGGTGGAAAGGAAGGGAAGAGGAATGTGGGGGGAGCAGATCATGGTGAGGGAGGGAGAGAGGGAGTGGGGCAGGGGCTGTCCAGACAAGGCAATGAATGCGTCCCGAGAGTGGGATGGAGCCATAGGCAGCTTGTCCGGGGGGGCGCAGGGGGATGAGGGGGAGGGTGGCTCCCTGCCACTACATGCACCCCTGGGGGGCAGGCTGCCTGCTGTGGGCTTGGGGCCAGGGTCTACACTGGCTTCTTCCCAATGTGGGGGCTGGGCCAGGGTTGTGCTTGGGGCAGGTGGAAGCAGGGCGGGCAGTGGCAGCAGTGCTGGGAAGGGAAGCTAATCAGGAATTTTGGGGTCGCTATAGCCCACCCTATAGCCACTCCTCCCAGCACCCCCACTGCCTGCCCCACCCCTGCTGGCCCCAAGTGCAGCCCCAGCCCAGTCCCCTTCTGGGAAGAGACTGGTGCAGCCCCAAGCCCACAGCAGGCAGCCCGCCTTCACCCCTTGCACAAATCTGCAGGGCACAGGCCACCCATGCCTCCCCTGGGGGTGCATGCAATGGCAGGGAGCCAGCCCCCTTCCCTCCCCACTGCGTCCCCTGGACAAGCCACCCACGAGTCCGTCCCACTCCTGGGTCACATTTAATGACCACTCTGGGCATCACATGCCCCTGCCCTACTCCCTCCCTCGCTGTGGGGGCCTCGATCTGCCCCCCCGGTGCCCCCACAGACTTAGTGGCAGGAAGCTACTCTCCAAGCTGTCCTGCTGCATTCCTAGCCACCTGCATGCTGCGGTTGCACACGCATGCAGCAGTTATCAGTGATATTATCGACTACACCGGTCAAAAAAAGCCAATTGCTAATAACGACACCAGCCAAAAAAAGCCAATGCCAATAATGTTAATTTTCCTTTTATCAGTGCCGATCCAATTTGCCACCAATATATCAGTGCACCTCTAAAAACATGTAAGTGCGATCAGATAGCAAAGTTGTGACACTTTATGAGCAAGCTGTGTGTGTTAGAGATTGTAGCACAGATTACCATGAGACTGGTCAGAATGTGTTCTAACTTTAATATGGCACAGATTTAACACATGCTAAGTGGCTCACATAACAAGGCTACGAGTTGTAGTTCTAATGCATATCAGCCGGTCAAGGTATTACAAATAAACACAGCCCAGTGGAGATGCAACAGCTGGCAATAAAGACATTTTTCCACCAGCATAGCTACCCCGCCTCCCAGAAAAAACTATGCCAACAAAAGCACTCTTCTGTTGGCACAGCTGCATACTCACTGGGGGTTTTGCCAATTTAGCTGCTTTTTCACACTCCTAGCCAGCATCATACTCCTATGCTGACAAAAACAGTCTATAGTGTAAACCTGACCTTAGTGAAGTCTATGTAAAAAACAACTAGTAAGCAGTTTCTGCAGACGGTCTGTGTTAGGCTGAAAACAGTGAACACTTGGTTCAGTGTGGGGCCATGTCTACACTAGGGAAAAGCACATTTTTAATATGCTTCAGCAGGCTGAATAAACCCTCCAAAAGATCCTGAAGACTTCTAGTAGGGTCCTGATCCATGCCTAGAACTCCTAATAAGTAATATGTGAAAACAACAAATATATAAAAGTGGTTCCTTCCATCTTGGGGGCCTAGGGCCCCACAACCCATGAGAAACCTGGGACCTGACAGCAATGCAAAACCCATTTCTGACTGAAATTACTATTGACTTTTCTAGTGAAAAGAAAATGAGTTAAAACATTCTCTGCTTTACATTTCTACTAGCATCGGTTTGCTTACCCAATGAACCTGCAGCACACCCTACAGGACTGAAGAAGAAATGATGAGGTATATATTTTGACTTCAGATACTACTGGAAGAAATAAAGCCCTTATGCTATATATTCTCTCTCTCTCTCTCTCTCTCTCTCTCACACACACAAACACACATAATCATACTGGAAAAATAATACACACAAACATTCCCACTTAAAGAGTTCATACACCTACTTTCAAACTATATCCAGTGCCAGTTTTTTTATGCATCTAAAAGTCCTCCCACCCAGAAATCAGTCTTCTACCTCATACCTGGATTCCAGCATGGAAAGAAATCTTTAGGGTTTTTTTTAACTTTCTTGGCCAACTGGCCATCATAGGCTCACTATTCTTCTGTTATTATAATTCTATCCATTAATATCTTTACCTGAAGCACTTCCCCACTTTCTGTTGCTACTGTGGCAATTAAAATACAAGAAATTGAACCTTATCCATGGCTACTATTAACAATATTGCTTTATGCATAAAATGACAGGAACAAAAAAGAGCGTGGCTATGGCTGGCATACTGTCATGGTTGATATACACAATGCCCAGGACTAGAAATCTCCAGGTCACATCATGTACCTTAGGCACCCTGAATTAGGGGTGGCCACCCTGCAGCATAAGTGCTACAAGGAGCATGGGCAGTCTGTGTGGCACCTGACAGACCAGGGAGGCAAAATGCAGCACAGTGCAGAGAAGGCAGAAAGTAGAGCAGCAGGATCAGGCAGGAGGCACAGGGCACAAAGCAGAAAACAGAGCAGTAGATTGGGCAGGGAGCATGGGACAGGAAGCAGAAAGCAGAGCAGCCCACTGGGCAGGGGAAGGGGACTAGACTGGCACTTGGGATAATTTGTGGTTTACCATTCCCCCACTGCCTTAAATTATCAGCAAAATGCATTTTCAAAATCTGTGAGATAAGGTATAACTAAGTAATGGTTATCAGAAACACTTAACAGAAATCTACTTAGGGTTAGATGGAATCTTGAAGTCAGGAAAAGACACAATTCCAGTAAAGTCATTTTCTTCTATTATATCCACTTTTACTCCTTCTGGATCCTTTAGGTTAAAAAAACAAACAAACACACAAAAAAATCACAGTTACAGACAGTTGAACAGCAAACACTCATAAAGAGATCATTTGAAGAAAGACTATTGAATGACTTCAGTTGAGAATGATCATCCTCATTTTTCCTTACTATCTTGTCCATTTCACAGCACTGAAATCAAACAATCTTCTCAACCAAGTCCTAGGCTGAAAATCTGGAAAACATGTCTGAGAGTCCAGCAGTGAAATAGTTGTTACGTGAGACAGCATTGTTGGTGCATCACTAGGGTAATGCCACTACAGAAAAGGTTGAGACTATTGACTACTTTGAATTGGAACTGAAAGAAACAACATGCAATGAAAGGTTTCCTACAAATCTTATCCTTAGAAGTAAAAAGCAATTTTTTTTTTCACTCTGTAGCTATTCTGGAGATGTGACTTGCCAGCTATCTAACTGTGCAAAGTCACTTCAAAGGAACTTCAAGTTGATGCCTTATTAAATTACAAAAGCAGGTTTTGGACAAGCATTGTCAATGTTGTTAATGACCTGACAATCAAGCTATTCTGATGCAATAACATAGTGGTTTACTACTCAACTGTTTTGGGTTTTTTTCTCTTTATGGTCTCTGGGATGACAATATTCAATTATGTTCTGATATACTCACCACAAAAGTTAAGACAGTTTCTCTTTGGGCTGGCTTCAATTCTTGATTCAAAGAGTAAACCCTGACTTTCACTGCAAGAAAAATAAATTTAGAGTATATGATATTACATAAAAAATAAAATTACTTTAAGTTTCTACACTTATTTATTCCTAAAATCTTCAGTATTCAAAAGAAAACCGTAGCCTATTGAATGCCTGGGACCCTATTAGGGACAACAAGAATTAGTAGAATTATTTCAAGCTATCAACAGCAGAGAGAAGCAGATTCTGAATTACAACTGCTTTAGACTGAATTATCACAGTCCAAAATAAATTATTATACTGTTATGGTCCCAGCATTCTTAGCTGTGGGGAAAGAAGGAACTAGTGACATTTTCTAAAATGATAGCAATTCAATTAATTTTTTCAGTGCAGTATTTCCTCAGTTATATTTTTGCAACGGTCTTTCATTTGACCTCAAATTACTCATTCATGATGGAAGGGAAGTTCAGGAGAGAATGTTATGAGAAACTAATGATTCCAAAGTGATGAAACAGTTCTGAATATTGTTTTGATTTTTAATGCATATTATGCTTAAATAAAAGTTGGCAGTAATTAAATTTGAATCCTAATTTCTCAGCAGTGCCAACTCACTTTAAAGCTTTAACTCAACCAGAAGGAAATTAGTATTACTCTACCTGATTGATCAGGAGTGTAAATGGGTTTGTCTGTCTGAATAAAGAGATATCCATTGTCGTAAGTAACCAGCATTTTTTTCTCTCTTGTGAAATGCACAGAACTAGCTTCCAGATACACATGGACTGAGCTCCCTGGTCCTGGTAAATCTTTTGGCTGAATCTAGGAGGCAAAAAAAAAATATTGAAAAATATTAAATTAATTTTAAGTTATATGAAGGCAAATCATTATTTTTTAACAGTATGTGTGATTGATAAGTACTATTCTCCTGTTATTTATTAAATATTAAGTTCATGAACACTAGTATCAAAAAAGATTTTCTCTCACATGTACACTGTATATAATAGTCAGGAACGATACCAAACAGTTTTCTTTTTTTTCAGGTAGTGTCTATGGGTCACTTGTACAGATAAAGCACTAGGTGAGAAGGAGCAAGATCCAGTAACTGTATAATTTATCAAAGTCCCATTTACATACCAAAGGTGAAATCCTGGCCCTTTTGAAGTTAATGGGAGCTTTGCCACCAAGTTAAAGATTTCAGCCCAGTTTAGTCAGGCATATTGACTTACACTGAACAAACAATTCATCAATCCAGTCTACAGCCATGTTTCTCCACCCCATTTTTTTTCTCCTCTCTCAGGCTAGGTACAGACATTCAAAAAGCCCAAAGAAGAATTGGTCAAATTACACAGTTTTCTGTAACCAGAGTAGTTTAGCTTGGTAGTGAACAGAACACACATTTGCCCTTTGGTAAGGGGGACAAATCTTAGACCAGATTCTGCCATTTTTGAACATTAGTATGTGCGCCAAACTTCTGTTCTGTTATGGGTATAGACAGGTTTTGCAAGCCAAATTTCTGTTCTGTTACAGGCATAGACTGGTTTCTCATCACTTATACCATTAAAGTATAATGTCTGTACCTGGCCCTAAAGGTAAAGATAGTCAGAAGGTTTAATACTTTTATAACTATTAGTTCAATATAAATTAAAGTACAGGATAGAGCATGTCTATTTGTCTGATGAGAACACAAAATTATACCTGTATAACCAAGGACATCATCAGTATGCAAACAAAAGTGGAAAGATACGGCTTTAGGGAGTTATGGATAATTAAGTTAGTGAAGTTGCATTCTTTTGGAGCAACACCTACTTGATTTTTCTTTTTTATTTCCACGATATTGCTCGAATCTCACTTTTTTCTAGCTATTTTTTAAATCTCATTCCCAGCTTTTACAGGAGAAGAAAGGACTTGAATACATTACAGAAAATATCACATAAGAAAACAAGAAATTGTTTCACACACTTTTATATATTTTTGCTGATTAATTAATCTATGCATGAATTTCTAGGGAATTAAACTGGCACAAAACTGATATAACAGTCTGAAGAATCATGCCCCTCATCTTCTTTGAAATAACTGGAATTCATCATAACGTTTTCAATCTGCTCTAATTTTAGAACCAAATATAACCATAAGGGAGGACAAGAAACGCTTTAAATACATACCATTAACGTTACAGAACCTTGGAATTTGTTGGCTGAAGATAAAGAAACACGGCCAGAAGAATAAACAGTTTGCTTATCTGGATAGCTTTTAATGGCAATATTGACAGAAAATTCATTCTTATATCCAAATGCTTGAATTACGACCTTTTCAGATGCCCCAACACGCAAGATCTTTGGTGCAGAAACGACATACCTGCAAATGATAATAATAATAGGATAATGGAACTGCCAGTCTCTTTTGTACCTATTTGCATTTGAAATTCACTGAAAGACCCACCATTAAAGCAGACAGGCTAATGGCTTGACCTATTTCTAGTTATATTTAAATTGTCTGTTGAGAATGTGCTCTTGATAGCATGACATTCAGGTCTCCACACTGTGGCTGCAACACAAAATCCGTGTTTTTGATGAGAAAGGAGTTTCTTCAGCAGGTGACAGGTTGTGGATATATTAATATGCTGATAAAGGAACACACAGTTAATTCTTACCACATGCCATGACAGTTCTACTGGCAGAAGGCAGGATTTGCCCCTAAGAGACCCCTCATTAGAGTCAAGGGCCTCCTTAGAAAATGCCAGCTCTTAGCTTTCACTCTTTTTTTTTACAACAGAAAAATACTAGAGCAATTCTTCTGTTCCAAAGAACTCAGAAAGACCACAGAAGACTACAGTGTTTTAACACTATAGATTCCCTATTCGACAGCTCTGGTTTTATCTTGTGAATCATGTTTGTACCCCTAACACATTTAGCATTGTGCTCTGGGGCATCCCTGAAAAGATCTCAGGGCACCCTTGTTGAGAATCACTGTTATAAACTCTATAGTTCATCCCTGCTATGAAACAAAACCTAATCCCCGGTATTCAGAGATGTAGGAACTTCAATATTGCTTATCTGATATGTTGCAATATGATAAATAAATTCTAGTAACTGTATAAATACAAGTATTGTTAGGCATTTTTAACTGAAAATTGCTTTTGTGATAAAGATTTCTTCAGCAAATTTGAAAAGTAGACAGTACACTAGTTAAACAAAACCATTCTGATAGGAGCTATATTTATGTCATGTCTGAATGTGTTCAGACAGTTGTCCAACCTTTTGGCCCCACTGGCCAAATGAGTGGTGGAGGGGGATCCAGTCTGTAGGCGTGCACCAGACAAGGCCTCAGTTCTGCGCATCATATGGCAGCTGTAGCTGTAGCTTCTGCCCCGTGGTGGATCAGACCTACTGTCCCCAGGCTCAGCCCCATGCATGCTGGATCCGGCCCCCCTACCCCAGCCCTGGAATGCTAGCCCCAGCCCCAGCCCAGCCGTGTGCGCAGGTATAGCGGGTATAATTTTGAACCTATCTAAATAATAGCTTACAAATAATAGTGCAAAGAAACATTTACTTTAGAAAAACAGGCAATCATCATCTTTAAATAATTTAAATTTGAAAATTTTGGCTCTAAATCCAAAAATATCCAAAGGCATGAACACACCTTTTGGGTTTCTGAAGGGTAGTTAGCAGCGTTAGTCAAAAGTCAACCAGAAGGCTGGGCAAGGCACCCTAAAGACTAATTGGGTCAGAGAACCATAAGCTAAGTTTGTCAGATGCTATAGTTGGTATCTGCAAACATGCACCCCATTCTGCAAGTCCTTTCTTAGGCAATAGTCCACCTGAAATCAGTGTGAGTTTTCTAGCGTGAGGATTGTTGAATCAGACCTACATAGTGCCTCTTGTATTGGCTTTGATTTAATTCTGTATTCATATTAATCTAAATTTTTACACTGGTGGCGGTAATCAAATAATATTTCCAGATAGTACACTATACTTACGTTTGCTCCTGACTGACGCTTCTTCCACAAACTACCAAAATACAAAAAAAGCTGAAAATATTCATAGCTGACAAGCACCAACCCAAAGATGCTAGTAAATACTGATGAAACCGCATTTGGCTCTTCCTTCAGTCAAGTCAGTCGGTGGCAGCTGTATTTATCTAACAATTAACCATTAACTTCAGATCTCTGAAAAGGCTGTTGTACCCTCTCCTTATCTCATGACTGAAATTATCTGCACAACCAAAGCCATAATTTTGTCCACAGCAAGCCACATGTAATCCATCTCTTCGAATTTTCCTACAAAAAGTTTTTTTATTGCAAATTCCATTTGATCAAAATCTGCTTTCTGCAGGAACATATCAGTTTTGATTAAATTTGTTCAGAAAAATCAAAGTAAAGCCTTTTGATAACTTCAGTGTTCAATTTAAATTCTTTTGGAACAGTAGTGTCATGTTTGGTTTTGTAATGTCTTTGAAGTTAGAAATACGTTTTATAGTAGAACATAAGGATGAAGTCAGAATCAAAACAAATTATGTTAATTCACCTGAAATGATTTTCCCCCCCAAAAGTTTAACTTAAAGCTGTCAAAATTCAGTCCTCCATTCCAATTGCTATTGAAAACAAAGATTAAAATAACGGAATTTCCTAGGCTATGGAGATCCTATTACTCATGCTGCTTCAGTAAACTGATTATTGGTGGTTATCTGGTTGCAACAATATACTTGCTGTCAATTGCTTATTCTGCTGATTTTTCCAGTAATGTAACTGATTAATGGGTTCCAAGAAAAGTAGCTTACATTGAACAATCTTATTAGGATAAAGAAACTGCACAATCCTTAGAACTATTCTGTCATTCCCAGCCTCACCTACAAAGCTTCTGCCTGTAATCCCATCCCTCTTTCTTCCTGACTGGTTCCTGAGACAAATATAAAACAACAACCTACATATGCTCATATTTCTTCAGTGCTTCCCCTTTTTTTCCTAAAAAAAAATATAATCTTGATTAAAAATTCATATTTATCAGTTAAAGCTTTAGATTAATCAGTACTTATATTGTTATTGTTCATAACAATAGTTAATATAATATAACCATAGTCAGTCATATTTGTGCTTCAAGGCAGATTTTATTATTTACTCAGCTCAATATTACATCCTAAATTTGCGGATCATTTGAGATGTCAAAACAAGAAAATAAGTCCTCTATTTTTCAAAATATCAGACAGGTGTTACCTTTTCCTTTACAAAAGTCTATCAGGAAATGCTGTGTGCATGAGGGATCCTTTGAATTGTGTCTTTCAACCCATTATTCAAGATCCACGTAATTTCATCTTGTCCTTTCAGGTCGTGACCTATGCCGAACCACTAACACACTTAAATTTGGGTTCACTCTCACCCATCCTGTATCCTACTCAACACATCAAGCTCAAAGAAATGCCTGACAATTTAAAAGAGATTTCCCCTTCTCACTGCACAAAAATCACAGCCTGGATTACAGGAGCCTTAATAGCCAGCCACGTGTCAACCGTACCCCATAATTTACAGCTGTAATTGTGTAGTAGCACTAGTGACTATTTTAGACAGTTGTAAGTTCTGTAGTAAGGCTATCAGGCCATTGAAAAGATAGTCCCAAGGCCCTAGAGAACATGAGTGAGCAAGAGAAAGCATGGGAGGAAGACTGTTATGCACAAGGTGACATCTGTATTACATGCTTTAGATTCGGAGACATCAACTGCTAGTCATAAAATACTCATTTTATGACTAACTAAAGCTACATAAAGTCATTTTGCTTTAATTTCTCAAAATCATTGTCTTCTTTCGAATCAGCTGTTGTTGCCATTTATAAAAGTTTAAAGGTATAATATACCTAAAAGTAACCTAAAGAAGAATGCACTGTGTTTGTAAACTTATCTGAGTCTATCCCGACCGTACAGTTGGTCCAATAAAAAGACAGCACCCACAAAAATCCATGACATAAGGAGAGATGTATTGGTAATGACTGTAGTAAAAGAAGTGTTAAAGATAGAACTTTTACTTGCCTGCCAACTTAGTTGCAATACTTTAACAAACAAGTCTATAAAATAGTTAACTAAACAGAAATTGTGCAAGATTTTGCAATTTAAACAAACACTGTAGCCAACATTTACAGGAAAAGATGGTTTCAAAGTAAATCTTTGATCAATATAACATGGTATTACCAGAAGCACACCAAGTTAGGATTTTTTGTTTTTCCTCTCAAAACAAGTAATTCTAACAATGCTCAGAGGACAACCCCGCTGTCAGGATAAAGCAGTTAAAAATGATTGTGTCCTATTATTTATTTATTAAACAACATCAAGCTATGCTGAAACACACAACAAAACTTTTATATACACAGAAGCCAAGGGGCGCTGGAAAATAATTCTTAAAGTTTTGTTGTACAATCTTTACATGCCTAAAATTATTAAATCAGAGATAAATGCTACTGTTTCTTCTCATACCAGCCCAGCGTCTGGCTTCTTTACTCTTCGTTTCATCCAGGAAGAGCACGCACCAACTGCAGATGCTTCCTCAGCCTGACAAAGAGTTTTTAAACCCGAAAGCTTGCTAAGAAATTTTTTTTCCGACAATTTAAATCAGTCTAATAAAAGATATCAGATTCACCCAAAGAACCTTGTCTGCCTATGTCCTTAGACCAACACGGCTTCAGCCTAGTAATGTTTCTTCTCTGCCTTCTTGTTTTCCTGATTCAAAAATTCAAAAGACTATCTAAGTCTATTCCAACCATGCGGTTGGTCCAATAAAAATATAGCACCCACAAAAATCCATGACATTAAAAATTACGCTTGTTCATAACCTAACACATACTTGCCCGGCTCTGAAACCCACACCATATCATTTATATGAAACACCAACATAAACTTAGGGTCTGATACAGCTCTGCATGCATCATGCCTGAAGTTTATGTTGGTGTTTCATATGAACTACGTGGTGTTGTGCATTTGCAGAGCCATGTGTTAGGTTATGGTTCGAGCAAGCAGAATTTTAGACCTTCACTTCCTGGTAGACCATGATCTCCATGCAGACTTTCAAGAAATGAAAAGGAAGAACTTTATCCCTTCCTTTATAAAAATATTAATAAAAATCAAAGGGGAAAACTATGTTTTTTTAACCGGCAAGCTGAAGGCGACACAAGGCTGAAGTACAAACAAGTTTCACTCGTGCGAGATACAACTTTAACTGGAATAACGTAGAGACGAGTGAAAATGCTACCAGACTTTTCTTTGTGATGCAGCATGCTATAAATGCCAGTTAAAATTTTCGGTGTAAAAACCATTCCTACGCTCCAACGTGAAACAGCAGGGCGAACAAGGCAACGAGCTCAAAACACGCCAGTTTGAAGATGGTTCGTCAAATAACCAACGATTCTAGTGAAAAAGACACCCGCGGAAAAAAAGCCAAGCTAAACCCTGCACTTTGCCCGCTCCCCTCGATGCTGCGGAGTTTAGCTGGGGTCCGTGTGCCTAATGGTCCGTGTGCCTAATGTGACCATTCGACCCGTGGGCCTAATGGTCACGCTGCCCCTTGACTTCATCCAGCACATCTGAAGAAACCAATCCCATGGTCAGCGATCCGGCGGGGAGCTCCGCAAGCCAAACTAGCCGAAGGCATTTTTAATTTTTTTTCCAGAGGAACAGCCAAAAAACCCGCCCCATGTCTGGAAGTTCCCGCGTTGTCCCAGCCTCCTGATTTTGCCGAGGTGAAACGAGGCTGATTTTGCTCCGCTTCAAGGTGAATTCAGCACTTTGCAAAGAGGCTGGCTTGGGGCAGAGAGTGGGGGTGAAATGCAGGCCTGGCTGGAGCCTGTAGTGGGGCTGTGAAATAGGAGCTCCCTGGCCAGGAGCAGCCCCAAAGGGGGGGGGGGGGC